AAGGCAACAGGAAGGGTCTGCATTCCCAGACATAGTTTTCTTGTGATGTTTCTCTGAATTCAATGTAAGGCAAGCAGAGGGGTACTGGCTGGTACTGGGTCAACTAGACACAAGACAGGGTCACTGGAGAAGAGGGAGTCCCAATTAAGAAAATGCCTCTAAGATCTGGCTGTAGGCATTTTCTTAATGATGGAGGGGGAAGGACGATCCCATTGTGGGTGGGGCCATCCCTGAGCTGATGGTCCTGGGTTCTATAAGGAAGCAGGCTGAGCAAGCCATGAGGCCTAAACTAGTAAACAGCACCCCCCCATGGCCTCTGCATGAGCTCCTTGCTCCACGGCCCTGCCCTGTCTGAGTTCCTGACCTGACCTCCTTCAGAAGGTGATGGGCTGTGATGTGGAGTGGAAGCCAAACAAACCTGTCTTCTCTCTGTTGCTCTGCTCATGGTATTTCACCACAGAAATAGTGACACTGCAACCTGTTCTCCCACTTGCTATATAACCGAAGCCAGGCTCAAAGCTGACATCTCCTTCTTCAGCTTCTCAAGCACCGGGATTACAAACGTGTGCTGCAACACCTGGATATGACTCTATTTTCATTGCTCATTTGAAGTCTAATTGATGTGTATCTAACCATTTTATCTGTGTTGAAACATGCTTTCTCATTTGGATGAGGAAGTAAATGAAACTCAGAAGGCTTAGGGAGTTCCTGAATCTCAAGAGTATTCACAAGCCTTCCCCACAGCTCTAGAATCAGCAAGAATTGCTACAGAGAGGAGACCAACCATTCAGCTGGGTTGAGTCCTACAGTGACCTTTCCTCCACCCTGACACCAGAGATTGCTTTCACTGAAAGGACACTGAGCATGTCTTTGGACTTTCTTAGTTTTTCTCTTAATTTCTTTGAAGAAATCTTTACTGGTCTCACGTGATGATCTGGAACATCGTGTTTAGATGAGTTAGATGAATATGGCTCCAGCTTTCCTTTCGTCTTCAAGAGTGGAAAGATAACAGGACTAAATAGAGGCTCAGGTCATGACATACCCTACCAGCCCTACAAACACATGGTCTGGGTCCGCAGGTATGACTTGTCTGATGTGACACTATCAACTAGGAGCTGAGACAAGACGTCAGGTGAGTAGGTGCGAGAACAACGTTCTAGAAGAGATAGTGCGATCAAAAGCCACGGGTGCAGAGTGATGGGATGAGGACCATGGCAGAACTGAGATCAGTGGGAGGGGTGGGGCTGGGATTGTCACCAATGAGAAACCAGTGTCTGCCCAGCAGCTGGCTCTAGCGGGCAGACAAGAACTGTGACGAGGAAAGGCAAATGAGTGGATGGTGACGACTAGTTGACAGTGTGCTGTCTGTGAAAGGAAGGCAAGAACGCCACATCTGGAGCATTGCTCACTAAGACTCCAACCACATTTTGTCCCTTTCTGTGTGTCGTTCTCATAACTGCACTCCACAGAGCCAGTTTTATTTCTGTTTCTCAGACCAAGAGAAACCAAGGCTGGGAGAGTTAGTGTATTTTCCCAAGCTTCTGGAACTAATCAGAAGCTAGAATGAAAAAGGGGCCGATAGAGAACCTGGTGTCCACACTCATTCGTCTTTGTGCTACTTAGGGTAGAGGTTCAGTAAATTAAATGTATTGATTCTGTAAAGCTCACAAATATGAAACCTAATCTGAACTAGCAGCTCTCAATAAGGTGATAAAAAGTTCTTCCAGAACATTCCTACCTTCCTATCATAGGACAGAGTCAAGGATCTCTTTGTGAAATAGCCCTTTACTTTCAGGGTATCTACACCTACTACATTTTTGAAGATTGTCCAACATTCCTTTCCTCTCTTTTAAAGTCATATTTCATGTGTGTTATTGTTTTGCCTCATGCATATATGTCTGTGTGGAACATGAATGTCTAATGCTTCTAGGCCAGGAGAGGGTGTCAGATGCCCAGGAACTGGAAGTACAGATGGTTTTGACCCACCATCTGTGGCTGCTAAATGAACCCATATCCACTGGAAGTACAGCCAGTGCTTTAATGCTGAGCCCTTTTTCCAGCATCCAGACATTTTCTTAAAGATTTGGATGGGAGCCTGGCTCAAGATGAAGAGGGTTTAGTTCAGATGCATCGGATGGAGTCATTCTTATTCCTTTGATTTTTTTAAAAAGCTTAGGAAATAATTTTTAAAATTACATTCGTAGCCTGGCAGTGGTAGTGCACATGTCTAATCCCAGTTTTAGGTGGATCTTTGTGAGTTTGAGGCCAGCGTGCTCTATAGAGTGAGTTCCAGGACAACCAAGGCTACACAGAGAAACCCTGTCTTGAAAAAAAAAACAACCCTCCAAAAGTTGTATTTATAACTGAGTTTTTAGTTGAACCAATTTTATACATTTTCCTGAGATAATTTGGCTTTGAGCAGTGTCTAGTTCATTATTGCCTCTTACAGTTGTTAGCAGAGAAGGGCACCAGCAACTTCTGTATAGGACATGATTATCTCCTGGCCCACGCTGCAGGTCCAGACTCCAGATTCCAGTCACTGTTGCAGAAGAGTGAAGACTGAATCCTCCCTCTGCGGCACCCTTGGCCTTCATGTGAAGCCGCGCGGCCTGTGGAGAAGATGGAAGTGCAGAGGTGTGCACACAGGCCCTGCTGCTGGTGCCTTCCGATGCCCCTGGGGACCTCCCTCTCATCAATTCAAAAGGGTGGGTGCTGGCTTTGGAAGGGCCACATCTCAGCAGAGTTATGTGTCTGTTTCCTTCTCTAAGTCTAGTAGAACACCACACACGTGACTTGTCTTGTGAGTAGAGGCACAAGCAGGACACCCTCTCTCCTGTGACTCACAGATGTAATGGGCAGCCTGCTGCCAAGAACAGGGGAGAAAATGGACGGCAGACTAGACATCTCAGCCACTGATTATTTTATTCCTTTTGCCATATTGGTGATTTAGATGACCACTTGTTCCCAAGTTGATAGAGATGTTGGAACAATTATGGGTCCTTTGATATTTGGAACCTTACTAAAGGAATTATGTCACTAAGGGTGGGCTTTTTGAGTTTTTTCTTTTCTTTTTCATTTAAATTAGAAACAAGCTTGCTTCACATGTCAATCCCAGCTCCCTCTCCCTTCCCTCTTACCCTGTCCCCCACCAACCCCCCAGATCCCCACCCCATCCCTCCTCTGCTCCCCAGGGAGGGTGAGGCCTTCCATGGGGGATCTTCAAAGTCTGTCAGATCATCCCAGGCAGGGCCTAGGCCCTCCCTCATGGGCTGTGAGTTTTTCTACTCTTATTCTCTCGATGTTTTCTCTTTGCTTCCTGCCTGCCTTTGAGTTCTTGTTACTTCCGTCCATGTCTCCCAACCCTGATGGATTCTTATTCCTCTGGAACTGTAAGTATAAAACCACTGTTCTCTAAGTTTAGAGAACTATTGTCGTGGTAAATAGGAAAGCAACCACATTTTCATAGACCTCAGAACACACCCCTGTCTTTTAACAGTGCAGGCACGCAGGTGATCACGCCACTGCTGAAGACCCTGAGGGCACAGGAGGACAGAAGCCTGGATCTATCGATGCCCACTGTCTTAGCTGTGAAAACAGCCGGAATGCTACCGAATATCAGTGGAGTCACTTCGTCCTATGCTTCTTTTAGACACCATCTCTTCTACTCCAGGATGGTGACAGTCTCCCTGTAGGGCAAAGCTGAAGTCACTCTAGGTCCTGGAACCCAAGGTGACACTTCCTCTCAGGACCATGCTATTTCCAAATCCACATGGCTGGCTTTTATGATCTGTGATGGGAACTCAGGGTCATGGCCTCTCTTGGACACTTTATCTGGTGTTTTGTAACAGGGCTTTCTCTTAGGGATAAGCATGGCAGGGTACCATAGGGACAATGTCCAGGTATTTGATGCCTGAAGCTGGATTGCTCTGACTCATGGTCTTTTCCCAAACTAAGTCACAATTCTAGTGTACCTGTAAGGCACCATTCATTTTTTAATGGATGGCCTATTTCCAGAGAATTTACTTAAAGAGTTCCAAGATAGAGAGCTGGAGTAAGCCGTTTGCTGCCTGGGGACTGCTGCTAGGTCCTGGGTGCTTGACTGACTCCTACAGGCTCTCAGGCCCTCTGTGGGCTCTACTGGCCCTTTTACAGAAATGGATTTGGACATGAATGGTTTCTTCTTCCTGTGTAACAGCATTCTTCCTGGGAGGCCTCATGCACATCATAGAAGGACTGAGTTGACGGTGGATCTCTGATACCTGAATCCCATTCCTTATGGTGCAACCTGAACCCTCTGTCCTCTATTTAAGGTTCACCAAGTTCAGAATTAGCCTGCAATTACCAATGTATGTGCTTTTGTATTGTGTGGGTTTCTTTTTTTAAAGATTTATTTATTTATCATGTATAGAGTGCATGCCAGAAGAGGGCACCAGATCCCATTACAGATGGTTGTGAGCCACCAGGTGGTTACTGGGAATTGAACTCAGGTCCTCTGGAAGAACAGTTAGTGCTCTTACCCCCTGAGCCATCTCTCCAGCCCCTATTGTGTGGTTTTAAGTTACTCAAGACTTCAAATATATGAGCAAGAACTATACCACTGAGCTATATTCCCAGCCCTGCATTCACTTTTGCATGCTGTATGTTATCTCTGAAAAGAAAATCTTGCTTATAAGCACATTTTGTTAGAGATGCCTCAAAAATATATTATAGCCATTTCTATCCCTGCTAGCCAGACTTTTTCGTTTTTTTCACTCTTAGTTCTCCATTCTCTTTTCTCTTTCTTCCCCCTCTCCCTCCTTTCCTATATCCCTCTCTGCTTCTTCAAAGGGTGGAGTGAGGCCTGCTGGTTAAAACGAGCAAGGCATCCCTGTGATTTACTTTTAAGTCTACTTGACCTTTGTCCTGTGTCCTCTGTTGCACTACTGGGTAAGCTCTCCTATGAACAAAGAGCACCCTGAAGTCCAGGAAGTTTCCTTTGTTGTCTTTCACGGGAAATGACATGGTGGGACTTTCCCCAGGGACCAAGTCTGGCACCTGAGCCAGTTTCCTCAGCGGGGAGTCTCGGCATAAATATGTCCCTGACAGCCACAGACAAGCATTGCTCCTCCAGAACTCAGGTGAGAGATGACTCCACGAAATGACCTGCACAAACACTTCTGCTCTTTCTTCTGTCCCCAAGTGGGAATTCCTTGTAAACTAACCTTTGTATCCTGAATTTATATGGTGTGAAGTTTGTGCTGTGCTGAAGGGACTTGTGGGAAATGCCACTTAGTGAACCGTAGGCGGCTGTGTGAGGAGACAATCTTCTCTCAGCGTCTCTTCCTCCATCAGTGCTGTCTTGCTGTCCTCCCAGACAGACGTGGTTCGGGGATGACGAGATCAGAACTCAAGCCTTGTGATTTTCAGGAAGGTCCTGCTGCAAGGTCCCCTAGGTGTCCCACTTGGATTCTAGTGAGCAGCAGTGAGATGGACTACTAGCCTCTCCCTAGTTTACAGACACCTAAAGGAGGGTACACATCTGGGTATGTCTCCGTGAGCCTCTCTTTTCATTTCAGCAGGATGAAGCTTCTCACTGGCCTCATTTTCTGCTCCTTGGTCCTGGGGGTCAGCAGCTGGTTCTCATTTATTCGTGAGGCTTATCAAGGTAAGGCTGATGTGGGAAATATGGCTTGTGGGGTTCAGTGAACAATTTACAAGTTTTTGCCTACTTCCTTTGGATGTCATTTCCTGGGATTCTGTTTTGTGGGGACATGCAATACAGATACAAATCTCAGACTAGTGACTGAGTAGAGCAGGTGGCAGAATAGTAGCTTGAGCCTTGCTATGTCTGAGACCAGTGCTGCCTGGTTGATGTGTCTGCTCGCTGTCATCTTCTTCATCCTCCCTAAGGCACTGACATAGTCTTTAGGTTCCTGTTTCTGCTGTCTTTCTCATCAGGGGCTGAGGACATGTGGCGAGCCTACTCTGACATGAAGGAGGCCAACTGGAGAGACTCAGACAAATACTTCCATGCTAGAGGGAACTATGATGCAGCCAAAAGGGGCCCTGGGGGCGTGTGGGCTGCTGAGGTCATCAGGTAAACACAGACAGTTGGGACACTGGGCCTGGGTAGCAGGGATTGACTGTGCTAGGGGACCAGGGTCAGATGAGTCCAGGAGAAGGTCATTGCCAATCTGTGGCCCTCCCCCTCTTGCTCAGACAGTCACTTCCTCCATTCATGCTCAGCGTAGATCCTGGGCTGTGAGCAGATCCACCACACAGCTCATGCTGGGTAAGTGTGCTTCCAAATGCAGACAGGGAGTGATTCCAGCCCTGCCTATCTGGTGATGGTTGTTCAATATAGGATCGCTCACATGGTCTAAGCTGTGCTGGGTCTGGCCGGGAACTGTTTCAGGTTCTCCTTCCTGGCCCTTCTTGATTTTCTCCTAAAACCATCTCTGGCAAAGTAGTGAACCTGGACGGTGGACTGTAGCCACGTGGCTTGGTGATGCATCTCCTCCATGTGCTTCTCCTAGTGATGCAAGAGAGGGCATTCAGAGTCTCATGGGTCGTGGACACGAGGATTCCATGGCAGACCAGGAAGCCAACAGATGGGGACGCAGTGGCAATGACCCCAATCACTACCGACCTGCAGGCCTGCCTGACAAATACTGAGCATCCTCGTTTCAGTCTCAGGGGACTGTGCTGTAGGCTCCTGGGACAGAACATGGGGTTCTTCACTTCTGTGTCCACTGTGGGTGTGGGGAGTCTATAGTGAGTGTGTAATAAATTCATAAGAGATGAAATTTCTGTCATTGTGTTTTTAGCGGGTGGATCTGTTCCATATAAAGAGTCAGTACTATGCACAGTGTGGAATAGAGTTTTTATGCTTAGGTCTCTTGTTCTCAGAAGTTGCATAGATGGACAGATCTGGTTACTGCTCCACTCCCCATTCAGGCTCATGTGACTATTCCATCACCTGAAATTATAGATACAATGTTTTCAGACCTTTCCACATCCTGACCACCACCCTCTGTGTCTCTTGTGTTCTAACACTTTCTCTTCTCTCACTGTATTAGTATGACATTTCTCTGCCTCTGTGGACAGGGTCACACCTTTGTTAAGATTGCAGTAGTGAATTCTGCCTCAGTCACTGCCACCTTGAATCTCTGTCATCACAGCAACTTTCAAATCCAATTGTTGACCAACTGTAATCCACTGTAACAGAAGAATTCCTTACTGTCTCAAATATATTCCCCCCCTCTGTGTATGTGTGTGTGTATGTGTGTTCCTGCCTGTGCAGTTGGATGTGTTTGTGTTTGTATTGAAGGTCAGAGGATAGTCTCATCTTTTGCTCCTTCAGGGGCTTTCTGCTTTCTTTTTATCTTTTCCTCAATATATGTTTTTATTTAACTTAGAAACATGAATACTTCACATGTCAATCCCAGCTCCCTCTCCCACTCTTCCTCCCTTGTCTCTCCACCAGCCCCCACAATCCCCACATCATTCCCCAGGGACGGTGAGGCCCTCCTTGGGGGGAATCCCCGAAATCTGTCATTTCATCCAGGACAGGACCTAGGCCCTTCCCCATGTGTCCAGGCTGAGAGAGCATCCCTCTGTTTGGAATGGGCTCCCAAAGATCATACCTACACCATGGTAAACACTGACCCAAGGCCCCAGTGATTTCTGTGGCCTCCTCACTACACTACATCATGGAGTCGGGATCAGTCCCCTGTTGGCCTCTCAGCCATCAATCTGTGATTCAAGAGCTTCCCCGTATCTGGTCAGCTGTCTTTGTGGTTTTTACCATCATGGTCTTGACCCCTTCGCTCATCATTCCTCCATCTCTGTCACTAGGTTCCAGGAGTTCAGTTCAGTGTTTAGCTGTGGGTATCTTTCTCTGCTTCCATCAGTCACTGGATGAAGGTTCTAGGATGGCATATAAGGTAGTCATCAACCTTATCATCAAGGAGGGGCTGTTAATGTAGTCTCTGCACTATTGCTTAGTTTGCCAGTTGGTGTTATCCTTGGAGATCTCTGGAGATCTCACTAGTGTCAGCTCTCTCCTCAAGCCTATAATGACTCCATCTATTACGGTATCTCTCATCCTGCTCTCCTCTATTCTTACCTCGACTCAACCTTCCTGCTCCCCCATGCCTTCTTCTCCCCTCCTCTTATCCCCCTCTCTTTTTTCTGGTTCCCTCTCCCTCCCCCGATGTTCCCAATCTGCTCAGGAGATCTTGCCTCATTCCATTTTTCTGGGTTATCATGCATCTCTCTTGGGAACTTCCCTGTTTCCCAGACTCTCTGGCACTGGGATTGTAGTCTGCCTTCTTTTTTATTCATGGTTTCTAAGTAGTCTGGAACTCTCAAGCCTTCCAGTTCAGTTAGCCTGGATGGACAGTGAGCCCCATGGATCTGTCTTTCTCTTCCTTCCCAGTGCTGGGATTCCTATCTTTCATCTACAGATATGTTTTTTTTTTAACTTGGATCCTGGAGGTTGAACTCAGTGTCTAATGCTTGTATTCCAAACCCCTTACTGTTCTAACTCCCCAGCCATTGTGTCCTTTTGTATTTATTTAGGGGTCTTTGATGCTCACACCAAGGGTTTTGCTTGAGCACACTCAAACATGTTCAGTAATGCTTTTCTCAGGAAGAACCAAAGGTCAGAACTGTTTGTTGCCCGGGATCTCTCTCTCTCTCTCTCTCTCTCTCTCTCTCTCTCTCTCTCTCTCTCTGTCTCTCTCTCTCTCTGTCTGTCTGTCTCTCTGTCTCTGTCTCTGTCTCTGTCTCTGTCTCTCTCTCTCATCTCTCTCAGAGATGGAGGAATGATGAGCGAAGGGATCAAGACCATGATGGTAAAAACCACAAAGACAGCTGACCAGATACGGGGGAGCTCTTGAATCCCAGATTGATGGCTGAGAGGCCAACAGGGGACTGATCCTGACTCCATGAATGTAGTGTAGTGAGGAGGCCACAGAAAGGTCTGCTTTGCTTTCTTGCCCTTTTTTGTTTTTTAATTTAAGTTAGAAACAAGCTTGTTTTACATGTCAATCCCAGTTCCCTCTCCCTCTCCTCCTCCCCTGTCCCCGATAATCTCTTATTCTTCCCCTTTCTGCTCCCCAGGGAGGGTGAGACCTTCCATGGGGGATCTTCAAAGTCTCTCACATCATTTGGGTCAGGGTCTAGGCCCTCCCCCATGCGTTTAGGCTGAGAGAGTATCACTATGTGAAATGGGCTTCCAAAGTCCATTCTTTTGCTAGGGATAAATACTGATCTACTACCATAGATGGCCGAGGCCTCCTTACTAACACTCATGTTCAGGGGTCTGAATCAGTCCCATGCTGGTTTCTCAGCTATCATTCTGGGGTCCATGAGCTCCTCCTTGTTCAGGTCAGCTGTTTCTGTGGGTTTTACCAGCCTGGTCTTGACCCCTTTGCTCATCACTCCTTCCTCTCTGAAACTGGATTCCAAGAATTCGGTTCATTGTTTAGCTGTGGATGTCTGCTTCTGCTTCCATCAGCCACTGGATGAAGGCTCTAGGATGGCTTATAAGGTAGTCATCAATCTCATCATCAGAGAAGGGTATTTAAGGTAGCCTCTCGACTATTGTTTAGATTATTAGTTGGTGTCATCCTTGCAGATCTTTTGAAATTTCCTTAGTGTCAGATTTCTCTATAATGGCTCCCTCTATTATGGTATTTGTCATCCTGCTCTCCTCTATTCTTCCCCTAACTCAACCTTCCTGCTCCCCAATGTCCTCCTCTCCCTTCCTCTTCTCCTCTTCTCTTTTTCCTAGTTCCTTCTCCCCTCCCCCATGCTCCCAATTTGCTCAGGAGATTTTGTTCCTCTCCCCTTCTCCAGGGTACCATATGTGTCTCTCATAGGATCTTCCTTGTTTCCTAACTTCTCTGGTGGTGTGGATTGTGGACTGGTAATCCTTTGCTCTATGTCTAGAATCCATATATGAGTGAGTACATACTATGTTTGTCTTTGTGACTGGTTTACCTCACTCAGGATGGTTTCTTCTACTGCTATCCATTTGTCTGCGAATTTCAAGATTCCATTTTTTTTCCCACTGAGCAGTACTCCATTGTATAAATGTACCACATTTTCTCTCCGGGATAGTTTCTTTAGTGGGTTTGCTTTCATCTGCCACCATGTGGCCAGCTTGAGTAGTGGTCTGTGTGTGGGATTGTTTTTGGGTGAGATTAACATTCCTGAACTCAGCTAAGTGGATTGTGGCTTTTCCTCTTCTGTGACCAGGCATCAACTAACCCAGTAATCAGCTACAGAGAGAGAGAGAGAGAGAGAGAGAGAGAGAGATAGAGGGAGGAGGGAGGGAGATATAGAGGGAGGGAGGGAGAGAGAGGGAGAGAGAGAGAGAGAGAAAGGAGAGAGAGAGAGAGAGAGAGAGAGAGAGAGAGAGAGAGAGAGAGAGAGAGAGAGAGAGAGATGGGTGAACAGGGAGGTGGGATGTGTATCTGGGAGAAGCTGGGGGGTGAATATGACCATATAAATTCTGTGAAATTCCCAAATATTTCATAAAAATACTAATTTAAAAAGAGAAGATTGGGTAGGATAGATGAGCAGATGAAGATTTCTAGAACACAAGTCTCACAGTCTGAGGTCGATCCCCAGAGCCCACGTCCATGTGGAAGGGGAGAACTGACTCCACTAGATGCCCTTGGATCTCCACAGCTGTATGGTCAGGTGGTGCCTACACACACCCTGACCATCAATAAGAATTTGGGGTCTGAGAGATGGGTCAGTGATTAAGAATGTAGTGTGCTGCTCTTCTGAAGACCTGAGTTTGGTTCCCACCCCCACATGGGGAGACTGAGAGCCACTTGGAATTCCAGCCCCAGAGGATCTCCTTTCCCTCTGGCCTCAGTGGGAACCTGCACTCATGTGGGCTCCCACACACATATAATTAACTATAAAGTAAAATAATAACAAGGCAGAAAATGAACCTGTTTCAGCAATAGTGAGGCAAATTTTAAGTGTGTCTCTAAGGAAGTTTCCTGGGAAGAAGAGGGAAAGGTCTCCCCTAAATGTGGTGACACCATGCCCAGGATCTCAGATGGGCACACATAAAAATAAACAATGAAATAAATCTATTTTAAGTAAATAAAGATTAAGTGTATTTTCTGTTGCTGTGTATAAGATTACCACCCGGAACTTCATAAAACATAGAAGTGTATTTAGTTCATGATGCTATAGGCTGGGAAGGCCAAGTGTGGAGTCTGTCCCTGGTGAGGGTGTGTCACATCCCCTCTGAAAACACCACATTGAGAGACAGATCAAGCCTGGTAGCTTCGGTCACTTCTTCTTCTCAAAAAGACATTAAAGCCATCATGGGGTCCCATCTTTATGACTTTCCTGCTTCTTACTTAGCTCTGACCTCCAAAACACATTGTCACCTGAGACTGGTGATTAAAATATAACATGGGAACTGTAGGGGAGTCATCCACATCTGGGATTCTGTCAGGAAAGGACCCAGTCAGACATGGTGGCAACAGCAGTGTTCCCCAAGGGGTGACAAGGGGCTGATAAACTGAAGACTCATGGACACATAAAATACTAAACCCTGTCACAGGCTATCTTATTTTTCACATGTGATCAATAGAGTAGTGACACAGGAAGGACAGAGAAGTATGTCACTGGTCTCATTCAACTTCTTGTTTGCTCTCTGCTTCCTGCTGGGGTTTGATCCTCCTCCCCCGACTGCCATGTCTTCCTCTTGCTGCCATGTCTCCCCAGAATGATACAATTTTTAACTTTTTATGTCTTTTACATCATACTT